CTTCTGCGCTACTATACGATAAATTCCCTTGACGTAAGTTGTCAATATATTGATGTACATCAATTAACGCCTCTCAAACACGCACCAAAGCAAGCACCATGGTTGGAAATATCTCTATTAAAAAATTTTCTGCTAAAAAAAGTAAGTAATGTTTCTTTCAAATTACATTAAGTATACTTTAATCATTCTAAATTTTCTAAGATAACAAAAGAAAAAGGTGTAACTGAATTTTACATGATTTTTTTAACTAATTTTGATTTTTGTTTACAAACTCGGGCAGAAATGGCCGATAAGATCGAATTTACGAAATTTTTTTGATTCGAGAAAAACAAGATTTTTAAATAAAATTTTAAAAATTTATAGGAAGGATTAAAAAATCTGAAAAAATCTTCAGAAAATACTTTGGTCTTCCCTCTTTAATACTAACATAAACATTTACACGTTAAAATTTTTTTTATCAATTTGGGGACCTTTTTTCTCCAGGGTATACCACTTTTTTAGTGTTAAATGGGACAGACCTACTGTTAACTAAATTGATACTTTTCAGAGTTACGACTGTTTAACTAAAATGTGGAGAATCTTGTGCCAAATTATTAAAAATACTGAAATTGTTGTAACAGTTTAAATTTATACAACCATTGACTTTATTGATTACTAGATGACCCATAAACACATTGGGTTCCTTTTAAAAGCAGTTCATGATACAAAATGATGAGGCAACAATATTATCAATTTTACTATTAATTATATATATTTTCATTTGTATTTGGAATACAAGTTATTGTAATAATTATTATTACTCACATTATACAATATTACTCAGATCAAACACAATAAATAATGGTTTTCAAAATTTGTGAAAAAATGCAGTCCCTGATACACAGAGCAACCAAAAAAATGACATAACTTTCAACATATGAAAATTATTAATATGATATTATTGAAATAAATTTAATAGTTTTAACAATTCATATATTATTCCACAAATAACATTTAATTTACCAGAAGGGGAAAACATTCCCTTTAAACGTAGTTAATTACTATGAACTGATTACATATAATTTTCAAAGGTAAAGATAATTAAAAACAGAAACAGCAATCATCTGCTTAGGGAGATTCATATTTATTGAAACAACAAAATATGGATGCCTCTTTTTTTGTGCACTTAATTTCATTTTTTTTTTTTTTTTTTTTTTACTAGGTAATTTTTTCAAAATGATAATTATATTTTTTATTATACATGTTTCTTCTTCACATTTATTTCAAAATATGTAATGGCAACAACCCAGCATGCATCTATTTATTTATTTACCATCAAGTCATGTGACATAATTTCCCAACCATTAAGATTATGTTTTACAGTGACACACCCACATAGCCTCTTCACCTATGAAATAGTTGCCAAACATCCAAGAAATTTGTTTATAAAAAATGTTCTAATTTATGAATTTTATAAATATGTTGTTATGTATATTTAAATTTATTTAATAATGTTGTTATAATGTATTATGAATGTTTATTATTTTTCATATACTTAATAGTTGGAATATAATATGCAAGTGTCTGTTTATATACATGGATTGATATAAGAATGTGTATTGAAAACAAATACAGAATTTCCTATTAAAAATGCAGTAAAAACAGAAAAACGGCCCTAGATAAAGAAGCCCTTGTTTAATTTTAATGAAATTTGTCACTGCACCTGGCAGGGGCTCAAGGTCCAATATGCTCCTAAATTGGTTGTGGTATTATGTATTGTTTAAGCTGTATCTCGGGTGGAGGGGGTTGGGCATATATACATACTAAATTAGAGTTTTAGTATTATATAGATTAATGGAAACATTTTCATTAAAATAGTAATTGTGTATATTATGCTACAAATATTTTAATGTAACCACATATATTTTTTGGTAGTGTTTATATTTATATAATCTTGTTTAAAAAAAAATAAAGAATAAGGAATGTGTGATTGTATAAGAAAACATGAGTTGCTTCCCTTTATACGAAAGTTTTAGGCGTGCGCCAAAAGTGTAGGTTTAATAGGTATTTGTCATGGAAGTGTGGCTAATAAAATTGTTGAAAAACCTTTTGCTCTTTGCACACCTCATAAATGTGCAGGTAAACCTCAATATTGTTCAGTTCATTATTTGAAAAACCTTCTGCAGGCACAGGTTCACAAACACCATTTTTGTGAAATCAAATTTGACCAGTGTGTCACTTCAAAGTCAATGAATGTAATTTTTTTAAATTTCTTCTTTGGTGGCTTGCTACTTTTGAAACAAAAAATATTTTTATTGAGAAATTCACCAATACTTGGTTATATTTTTGTGATGTAATTTGAATGAAATTTTAAAATTAGTCTTGTAAATTGACATTACTGTATGAATAAATTTTTACTTATATAATGAATAATTTTTTTTATAGCCTCTTCTCTCAACTCCAATTCATCTAACTTCAACATTGAGAAAAGAATATTTTCTGGAAGCAAGGTGAAAACATTGTGCTGTAAATTTTTCAACACAACATTCTGCATCTCAGTCAACAATTCTGTATTTGCTTTATTCTCTCGATTATGTTGAAGATATACAAGTGTTGGTTATGGAATTTATTATTCCTTTTAATTTCAAACCAAGTAACTGATTATATTTCAATTATAAATTTTATAAGGCTGTAATATAAGGCTTTTACTGATCACCAGAAGGAAATTCCAATGTTTCAATTATGAACCTAAACCTATTCTTTAAACTTGGTTCCACAAAAAAATGATAACTTGTAAAAAAAAAAAATATTTTGTGTTATTATTTATCATGTTAAACCCCAACTTTCAAATTGAGTGCAATAACATAGTTCCAAAAATCAATCTGCCCTATTATCACAGGGGACAATGACTTAGTCAATGAAATTACTTGTTATCTAGTGCATGCACTCTGGATGGAACATTGAAAGTTATATGCTCTGGAAATATAAAGTAAAGAACAGCATCACAAGGAAGAATTATCTAGTGTATGATATTCCTTTATTTTGACAACAGAACTTGTGGATTGGATAGATGTTAGTTTAAAATTCTTTGAAGGTTACTGAGTATGACAGATATCTGAAAAACATCAATGGGAAAAATGGGAACTCTGGCTATAATAATGAAGACACTAATTTTAATTGGAAAAAGTAATTCCAATTTATTAGAATAAGTCTGTTATTATTTGTTTGTATTTTTTTTTTTAACAGTAAAAGTATTAAGAGGCTAATAATTAGGACTCTCCACCAAAACACGATACCTAACGTTTAAAATGAATTTTTAATAATGAAAATTCTTTCTTGAAGCTTTTATTTTAGTTTTAATTTCAAGCTGAAGATTAAATTTAATATTTCCAATAAACAAAATACTATGTTGTATTTCAAAACTAATTTAAATTGATTGGCAGGAATTGTTTTTTGAAATTTCTAAAATTGTTGAATTTAGCACCATTTTTAGAAAAGTGTTATAAAAATGTAAGTTTGTTTATTAAAAAATCTTCCAAAAATAAAATATACTTTTCTGAAACTTAAGTTTAAAGTATCACAGAAATGCATTTTTCAACTCAATGGTAGCTTGTTTATTTATGTTGATAACTTTTTAACAGCTTCATAACAGCTGATGATGGATAGATTGTTATCTAATGTTGTTTTAAGAGCGCTTTAACCTTAAAAAAAATAATTGAGGAATATAACATGAACACTTTTTAACTACTAAGTAATCTTGAAAATTTAAGGAAATATTCTCTAATTTAATGTTTTATTGAATTTTAGAGAATTTTGGCTCTAAATTTACTATAGATGTCACTCTTATTTTCTGATAGTGTTGTGTATGTGTGAGCATTTTTATAAAATTTGGCATGTTTTTACACATAGAAAAACAATTTAAAATTCTTTTAAAAATATTCAGGGGTGTCAGATTGTAATAAGCTTTATGATATATGATTAGTAAATATAGTTTTACTTAACAATCTTTCCTAAGAATTACACCATTGAAATTAAATTTTATAAGATTTAAAAATATAAACAATTCTAATTAGAATTTAAAAAAAAAATGAAAACAGATCTTGTAAAAAATATTTTCTGAAGACAATATTGTCCTTAATATATATTATTCATAAAAACAATTAAAAGCTTCTCTAATTAAATAATGTCTTAATTTTATTGTTTTTACTTTTCGATTCAGAGTAGATTTTCTGTAAGACGGATTCTGATTTTGCAAAAAAACTTGATGATTGAAATTCTCCAAAGAATTCTGCTTTTGACTAATATAGTCACTAAAAATTATCATGTTGAATTTTTCAAATTTTCCTAAAATAAGTAAGAGAGTGAAACACGTGTAAAAAAAAAAAAAAAAAAAAAATTTACCAAGACTTTTTAATAAAAACATTTCTTTTTTCATTTGTGAATAAGTCTAGAAAATTTTATTAAAATCTGATTTCCAAATTTCTTTCACCACAGAAAGATTCTAAAATTTGCTATGATAAAACTGTGTTTTCATTGTGTTTGGAGTATGTTTTCATCATAGTATGCTGATTTTTTTTTAACAATTTCAATGAGGCAGCTACTAATAATGTAGTTATATAATATGTAATGTTCTATTATAAGTAAAAGTTGCAAGTAAACATTAAAACAGGATTTTTTTCAAATACAACTACCAGTGTGGTTAGGGAATGAATCCAATAACAGCTTTGTAGTCAAGTGGAACTTAACTGCTTACAATACTATCCTCCTCCAGAACTTTGTTCAGTGAATCAAAGATTAATTCATCCCCAGTTATTAAATTAGATATTTATGAAACATTTTTAAGTACACTTTATAGTTTATATCACTATACCTGGTTCATATATTGAAGAGATATAAATTCTACCAGGGCTCTGAAAATATGTAATTCAGATCACAGAACATATTTGGTTGCTCCTAAAATTAATAACTGGAAAAATAAATAAATGATCATCTATCTTGTGCATGAATTTTATTCTTTGCAGGTCTTGCAGATCCCCTGGCTTTGAACCAAGCAGTATCAGCTTACCAAGCCTGTACATTTATTGGAATGCCAGAGTGTGATGTAAGTGATTCCCAACTTAATTTAAATTTTACACATATCTCTGATGCTGTGATACTATGGACACTCACATAGAAAGGAAAGAGGTAGTTTTATCTTGGTCTCAAGTGTTTCTGTTTGATAGACCAACAGATGGGTCCTTTTGAAGTTTAGTTGGGCATCTACCTTAACCAAAGGGTAATAGAGAAGTGTAGCAGTTGTGAAGAGTGATTTAGGAACCAGGGCATACAGTCCTTTATGCAGGCTAATTGCCAAGGTAGAGTGGGAAAAGGATCCCTCACAAAAAAAAGTTGTTTTTCACTGCTTTTTAAGAAAAAAAAGTAAGTAATTTTGGTTTAGTCTTGTTCACAATTCATTAAATTAACAGTTTTTGTTTTAATGGGATGTAGACATTTTTATTTTAATTTTTAAAAATGTTTAAGTAAGTTTCTTAACACTTGACAACAAGTGTCAGAAAATGGTATTGATTGATGACTGGAAAAGTGAAATTTTGATGTAAACTAAATTAATATTGTTTGAATTACCCAAATGTTCTTTTAAGATAAAGTTCAACCTTCTTTAAAATAACACCAACATGAAATTTGAATTCAAACACTTTTAATTTAATATTAAAATTAGGTATTGCAGTGATTTTTTTTTAAAAAAATGTCCTTTAACCAAATTTAACATGTTTAATGAAATAATATACAATATTATCAAGAAATTTTTTTACATAACTTAAAAAAAAAATAATTTTGAACATTTAAAATTAAACCTTAAGGCATTGAAATGGATGAAATATCTTTTAATCATAAAAAATAGACTTTGCCAGTTGCTCCTTTTTGCTCCATGTATAAACTGGTCAAAAACTTTTTGGGTAATGGTCACATGTCTAAATCCAGGTCTTAAGAAGAGGTCAAAAATACTCTCTATGGGTTAAAACTTTTTAAAAGTCAGTAAAAAAAAAAAGAAATTTCAATGTGACCCTAAAGTCATCAGACATTCCCTATATACTCTACAGAACTGAATAATACAGATTTTTTGTCTAAATCTGTCTATTATGAGTCCTTTGAATAGGCAAGTCTTTGATTTCAGCTGCACACAATACAAACATCATCACTTCAGCTGGAAAGCAAGCAAAAGAATTTCTGCTTTTTGGTGGCTTTCTCTCTGTGACCCCCACCCCCCAATTTTATTATCCTGTCTCTCTTTTTCATGCATCCAGGGAAGGCTAAAGCTATGGCCTTTTTTAGTGCATGCAAAAGAATTTCTGTTTTCTGGGATTGTCTCTCTTTTACCCACTCACTATTATGTTCTGTCTCTCATTCTCCCTACTAAAAAGGCTAGTAAATTCATTGCTTTTACTTGCTAAACAGCAAGTGTTTTCTCTACTTTCACTCCCTAAATAATATTGCTTGTAACAGTTATCCTAAGAAATGAAGAAATGGGAAATATAAAAAATTCAAGTACAAAGTGGATAGTGAAAAATTATCAATAATTAATTTTATATTACACAAAATTATTTATCCTGGAAGAAATGTAAGGTATGCAGTGCATGTGATGCATGTATGGACCCTTTGCCCCTGAAGTGTAGTCATGGTTGGTTAGTACTACCACTAATTAGCATATGTGTAAGAGTAGACATTATCTATTGCTATGTAAGGTAGTGGCAATAGTACATGGGACCAATACTGACTGCATACAACTGTACTCCCTACTTGGAGTATCATAACAACATGCTGTTGCTGATAGGAACTTTCTTGTATGTAAAAGAGCCAGATTATGTTGAAACTTGGATAAGGTGCTTTGTAGCCTTTGCTAGAACAAAAAACTACAAGACAATAGAATAAGTGGAGGTGAAAACAAAGTCACAGATTTGTTTCTGTAACAGCTGGTTGTGAAGCAGTTAGGAAAATTTTGTTGATGACTTATCTAGCAGAGGTGGAAGAATTGATATTTAACCAAATCGGAGATTATTCTAAGGAATATTCTACCAAGAAAAAGGTTGGTCATTGCCAAGCAAACTAAATTCTTGTCAAGAATGCAAGGAACCCATTATGAAATTTCTGCACTGGCTATGAGACACCATATTGTGAATTTCAATGTTTAGGATAAGGACAAATGTCTATTGAAGAGGAATTGATACAACAAAGACTGATAGAAAGTATGTACAATACTTTGCATAGATTTAAAATGTTAGAATGGTTTCAATTAAGCCAAATGTTGTTAGAAGCATGTATCGAATTTATACAACAGGAAGAGTTGATTTGAAAAATTCAGTAAGGAAAATAATCAACGGGAAATTATGGACATATACATGATAAAGAAAACAACACCAAAGTGCAAATATTGTAATTATGAATATGAACCAAACAAAGAAAAATGTTTGGCATGGGAAAACATGTAAACATTTTAAAAAGAAAAAATCGTTTTCAATTGGTGTGTAAATTAAAAAAGAAATATAAAGAATGTTGAAAGAAATGTAAGGCACTTTAAAAAGTGAAACTGATGTTTTCTCAATACAGAAGAATAAGAAAGAAAATACCTTCATGAAAATTAAATTGAATGGGGTAAATTTAAAAATGCAAACTGATACTTGCAGCAATGTAACGCTAATTTCGAGGAACTTTTGGGAACAAATGGATAAACTGAAAATGTCATTTAAAATTAAGAGAGTTTGATTGGTCATGCATAAAGATATTAGGATTTAAAAGACAATTGAAATGAACACCAGGATCGAAATTGTTACTATTGTAGTTGTGGGCTGTTATAAAGGCCATGGCTTAATTGGAACAGATGTGCTTAAGGTTAATAGCACACGTCTAATTCAGGCTATGAATTCAGATAATCCCAAAAATGAAATGTTAAAAGATTATAAAGAAAGTATCAAAAGAAAATTGTAACCCCTCATATTTTGAATCTTGTAGACTTCCAATTCACTTATTATCTCTAGTAGTTGTGAAACTGTAAAATGATTGAACAAGGTATTTTGGAACAGTTCCTCTGGGTGGAAGTAAATGGGCATCATCTATAGTAGTTTTGAAAATGCCAAATGGCGATCTTAGAATTTGTGGTGACTATAAAATGATAAATTTAAGGAAATCACCACTATTAACTCCTCAGTTGGACTGCTTAGATAGACTTGTATGCCATATGAGACAGCAAGTGCCATCTTTCAGAAAGCAATAGAAAATGTTCTAAGAGGTTGACATAAAAAATACAATATATGAAGATGATATATATTTGGGTTCAACCAATGAAGAAGAGTTGAAACAAAAAACCCAACAAACTCTTAGAGTAAGGATATCTGGAATGACTATTAATGAAGATAAATATGTGTTTAATTGTGAAAACATCTATCTTGGGTACCAAATTTCAAGAGATGTAATTTTGCCAGACCCAAGTTTAACACAGAAAATATTAGAGTTGTCTCCTCCTACCAATAAAAAAGAATTAGAATCTTTTAGGGGTTTAGCAAATTTTTATAATAAATACTTATCCTAATATTTAGAAGTAACTGAAATGTTTGCCAAGTTGTGTAAAAAGAACAATGAATTTAAATGGACTGATATGCAACAAAGAGTATTTGATTATTTTAAAAATGCTCTTGCAAAAAACCCTGTTATCAAGATTTTTGACCCCCAAATGAATGGTACATTAATTAAAGACGCTATTAAATCTTGCATATCAGCAATTTTAACCCAGGAAGGATGCCTAGTTATATATCTTTCTAGAGTATTAATGTCAACCAAATCTAATTACTCAAATATAGAAAAAAAAAGCTTTAGTTATAGTTTGGAGCACTAGTAGGGCTTGTCAATTTTTATTGGGAAGAAAATTCTTGTTGATGTCTGACCATAAGCCCCTAGAATTCATTTTGAACCAAAGGAAGGAATTACCAAAAGTTACATCTTCCAGAATATTAAAATGGGTCATGAAGCTAATGGCTTTTGATTTTGATGTCAAATATGGAAAGAGAAATGCTATTCTTCATGTAGATGAATTATCCAGATTACATTTTAAAAGAGAAAAAAATAGCATATTAGAAAATATGAAAAATGAATTTTTGCACTGGGTAGAAACTGATGTTCCACCAGTAATTTGACTTGTCTCAGAAACATTACAAGATCCAATATTAAGTAAAATTGTATCTAGAATAAAAACTAATGGTGTAATTGTTCAAAAGCTGAAAGGGCATACAAAGAAATTAGACATAAGTTAACTGTAGAAAATGGTGTTGTATGTAAAGGTGATTTAGTAGTACCATCTGAAAAATGTGTGTTATATTTTGGTTGAATCTTTTCTGGTTGGCCTGAAGTTGTTTGCATTCATGACAAGAAAACTAGTACAATAAGGCAGATAATATTTGCTAGAAAGAGAGTAACAAAAACATTAGTGTCAGATAATACCTCAGAATTTTCTGATGAAAATTTGTGTTTCATTGGATGTATCCCATATAAAACCCTACCATATCATCTGCAATCAAATGGAATTGTAGAAAGAATGGTACAGACTATAAAAATGAGATTGAGAGCATTTTCTCCTCAACAAGATGAGATTGATAGTTTCTTACCAAGACTATTATTTAGTTAGAGAACTGCACCACATGCTGACAAATTAGAAAGTTTGTCTGCATTAATGGTGAGACAAATGAGAGCCATGTCATACTTGATTAATGAATAAAATGTGGTTCAAGTAAAATAGAGAATCTGTATTCAAAAGAATGAATTTTATGATGTAGAAGGGACACAATACTAATATATACAAATATATTCCCCCCCAAAAAAAAACAAAAAACAAAACAATAATCTTCTTGCCCATGTGAATCAAATAAGATCCAGACAAGAATATGAAGGGAAGATGGAAATTGAGCAAAGAAGCAAGTCCAGTTCGGAACATATAAACCAACAGAAAATGAGTGATGAGATGTCAGTGGAAGACAAAGATGATTCAAGCATCAATTATGAAGGCCAGGAATCCATCAACAAGCAAAACAGATCTAGATCTCTTATAGAGAAAAATTT